GGACAGGATTACCCAACTGGAGGAAACTATTGCACGCATGGAGGAACAACTGCGTAGGACCGCATCGCTTTCCCCTGCTCCTGCTGCACCTGCAGTCCGCCCCTCAGAACCCAAAATCGCTGCTCCGGAATACTTCCACGGACATCGCACCAAGTTGACTACCTTCCTCACCCAAGTCAGCATGGTGATTGAACTTCAACCCAATCGGTACCCTACAGAGAGGTCCAAGGTTCTTTACACCGCCTCCTTCCTTAGGGACACCGCTTTTCTTTGGTTCCAACCCAACTTGGAGAAGGACCCGGAACCAGAGATGATGACTAGTTACAAGAAATTCTGCAGGGCTCTCCGCGACACCTTTGGAGACCCTGATGAAGAGGCAACTGCCGAAAGGAACATCTTCTCCCTGCGACAAAAGGGATCGGCATCGTCCTACATCTCAGAGTTCCAACGCAACTCTACTCTCACTCAATGGGACGACCACGCCTTGGCCGCCCAATTCTACCGAGGACTCAAAGAAGGAATCAAGGATGAGATCGCTAGAGTTGGACGACCTCATACTCTCAAGGAGATGATGGACACCGCTCTTAGGATTGACAACAGACTTTATGAGCGTTCTCTGGAACGCGGGTCTGGAACTCAGTTCACTAGCACCACCACCACTTCAACTCGCTCCTTTGGAGGCAACAAGTCATACTCCAACAACAGCAACTTTACCCCTCGCTCATCCCCTTCTACCGGTACCACTACCTCTACCACCTATACTCGCCAATCATTCCCGTCCAGGAATGACCGGCCTACTTTGTCCTTGCCCATCAACAACAAAGGCAAACTTACCTCCGAGGAATATCAAAGGAGGAAGGACCAAGACCTTTGTCTGTACTGTGGCTCCAAGGACCACACTGTAGCCAAATGCCCGCTTGCAAAGCCCAATTCTTCAGCTGGGAATAGTGCCATCCTTACCCGTGACAACCAGTCAAAAGGTCAGGCACTCCGCACCCAGAACGCCAGCGCCTAGCGCGGAGTTGCCAAAGCGCTAGGCAGGACTTGCAAGATTCTCAGGACTCTCTGGACTCAACGGATTCTACTTCTACTTCATCTTCTACTTCGGATTCTACTTTGGACGCCAGGAATCACATCAGTCTTCCCGTCACTTTACCCAACTCTACTAAAACCAGCATGGAGTATGCTGCTCTACTGGACTCTGGCGCTTCAAAGTGCTTCATGGATTATCACTTCGCCAAATCCCTTCAACTCCCGCTTACCAAGAAGCGACACCCTTCAAAACTCCACATGATTGATGGCTCCATATCCTCTTATGGTAGCATCAAGTACACCGTCACCACCTCCATCAAGGTACCCAACTTCAAACTGGCAACTACGACCTTTGAAGTCACCCATCTAGGGGTCTTCCCGATCATACTCGGATACCCATGGCTTTACAAACACAAGCCTTTCGTCAACTGGGAAGCTGGAGAAGTTAAACCTCCACTTGAAAAAGCCAGTACTCCAACCCGGGCTCACAAGCCTTTTGCCAACTGGGAAGCTGGGGAGAAGACCCCACTTGAGAAAGCCAGTACTCTTACTTCGGCATCTGAGGATGCGACATCTGCGGATGTCACCTTTGGGAACACTACCAATGTGTCTGCAGCTGCGGCTGATCCCATTCCGGTGATGGATCAAGACATCATACCTGCCAGGTATCACGCCTACCTGGATGTCTTTGATAAGGCTAATGCGGATACTCTACCACCGCATAGACCATTCGACCATCACATACCTCTTGAAGAAGGCAAACAACCTCCCTGGGGACCAGTCTACTCCTTATCCGAGAAAGAACTAGGATCACTACGGGAATACTTGGATGAAAACCTAGCCAAGGGTTTCATCAGACCTTCTGAATCTCCGGCGGGAGCACCCATCCTCTTCGTCAAGAAAAAGGATGGATCCCTCCGTCTCTGTGTTGACTACCGAGGTATCAACAAGATAACCATCAAGAATCGGTACCCACTTCCGCTCATCTCGGAGCATCTGGATCGCTTGCGCCAGGCCAAATACTTCACCAAGATCGACCTCAGAGGAGCCTACAACCTCCTACGGATCGCTGAAGGTGAAGAATGGAAGACGGCATTCAGGACGCGCTACGGCCTCTTCGAATACCTCGTCATGCCATTTGGTCTCACCAACGCGCCAGCATCATTCCAACACCTGATGAACCATAACTTCAGGACGATGCTGGATCACTATGTCATCTGTTACCTGGATGACATCCTCATCTACTCGGACACACTGGAGGAACATTATCAGCACGTTACCTTTGTCCTTGAGACACTTCGCAAAGCAGGACTCTTCGCCAAAGCCGAGAAATGCGAGTTCCACCAACACAGCGTGGAATTCCTTGGCTTCATTGTTGGAAGAGATGGGATTACCATGGACGTCAAGAAGGTGCAAAGCATCTTGGACTGGCCAACGCCAACCAACCTGTTTGAAGTCAGATCCTTCCTTGGATTCTGCAACTTCTACAGGCGCTTCATTGCATCATACTCCTCCATCGCCCATCCTCTCACTCAGCTCACCAGGAAGGACACTCCATTCCTCTGGACCGACAAACACTCTCAGGCCTTTGACAAACTCAAGAACGCCTTCACATCAGCTACTCTCTTAGCTCACTTCAATCCGGAAAAGCCTCTAGTCCTAGAGACAGACGCTTCGGACTTTGCCCTTGCTGGAATCCTATCTCAGGAATCGGAAGAGGGAATTCTAAAACCCATCGCCTTCTTCTCAAGAAAGATGGTCCCTGCCGAACTCAACTATGAGATCCACGACAAGGAGATGCTTGCCATCATCTCGTGCTTCAAGGAATGGCGTCAATACCTTGAAGGCACCTTTACGGAAGTCCTTACAGACCACAAGAGTCTAGAATACTTCACCACCACCAAACAACTGAACAGACGACAAGGTCGCTGGTCTCAATTCCTCCAGGACTTCCACTTCATCATCAAGTATCGGCCTGGTTCACAAGGAACCAAGCCGGATGCTCTCACCAGAAGACCGGATCTTCATCCAATGACCAAAGGATCATCCCTCTCGCCGGAAGCCAACCCTGACAATCATCAGGCTCTACTCAAACCCGGACAATTCCTATTCGCCACCGGATCTTCTGAACTCCTCCCTCAGTCTCAGCAAGACATCATCATCACCTTGCAAGAGGAGACTTTCGCTCAGGACATCATCACTTCACTGGACAAACACCCAGGATATACCTTACAAGATCAACTACTACTCTACAAAGGACGTACCTACCTTCCTGACAAGAAAGACTTACGGCTACGCATCACTCGAGAGCACCATGACTCCCTTCAGCACGGACACCCTGGTCAGCGTAAAACCTTGCAACTGGTTCAGCGCAACTACTGGTGGCCCAAGATGAAGGAGTTCATCCACTCTTATGTGGACTCTTGCGATGCTTGCCAACGGAACAAGTCAAAACGTCACAAGCCATATGGAGAACTCAAGTCACTTCCTATTCCGCCATACCCTTGGTCCAACATCTCGATGGACCTTATCGAGGATCTACCTCGCTCCAACGGCTACAACTCCATCTTGGTCATTGTTGATCGACTCACCAAGATGAGCCTTTTCATACCGACATCTACCAGCATCGATGCACCCGAGCTGGCTCAACTCTACCTCCAACATGTCTTCAGTAAACACGGATTACCGGAACGGATCATCAGCGATCGCGGATCCGAGTTCACTTCACGCTTCTGGCGTGCTATTGGTTCTTTGCTGGACATCAAGTTGGACTTCTCCACCGCCTACCATCCTGAAACTGATGGTCAGACGGAACGTACCAACCAGACTCTGGAACAATACCTCCGGATGTACGCCAACTACCAACAAGACGACTGGTACAGACTCCTGCCTTTAGCAGAGTTTGCCTACAACAACGCCAACAGCGAAACCACTGGCGTCTCACCCTTCTTTGCCAACAAAGGCTATCACCCTCGCTGCAACTTCACCAAACCTATTGGACCCAACATCTCGGAAGGCGCAGAGCGTGTTACTGCAGATTTATCGGAACTACACGATCAACTCAAACTCTGGATCAAGAGATCTCAGGAGCACTCCGAAAACCAATGGAGCCGTAAACACCTCCCTTCACCAGTTTACGAACCCGGTGACAAGGTCTGGCTTGATGCAGAAGACATCAAAACCACTCGTCCAAGCAAGAAGCTCAGCAATCGCTTCCTTGGCCCCTACAAAATCACCAAGAAAATATCTTCACACGCCTATCGCTTGGAACTCCCTTTCCAATCAAAAATACATGACGTATTCCATGTCAGCAAACTGGAACCCTTCAAAGAAAACACCATCACCAATCGCAAACAACCTCCGCCTGAACCTGAAATCATTGAAGGCGAAGAGGAATTTGAAGTAGAGGAAATCCTCGACTCCAAGATCAACAAACGATACAAGGAACCTTTACGTTACCTTGTCAAATGGACCGGATACGGACCTGACGCAAATTCCTGGGCACCACCTTCATGGTTGTCAAATGCGCAGGAACGGATCAAGGAATATCACGAAAAATACCCCCTCAAACCTGGTCCATAAACCGTCTACTCGATAAAAAAAAATACCATCAAAATAACACGGCAAAAAGAAAACCTACCACCCGGATCGAATCCTGGATCTCATGGACTTAGCAAAAATAATTCCACAAAAATCACATAACCAACTACGCCAAATCGAGCTGAATATCACGCCGTCGCGTCAACAACATGAGTACGAAACTCGGGTCCGGCACACCCGCGGCCAAGCCTACACGTCATTTCCGAGTCGACTCGGAAATGACCTCATCGGCGTTACGGCACACGCGCGTCGAAGCCTACGCATTACGACACGCGTATCAAAGCCTACGCGTTACAGCACGCTTATGGCATAACAACCGAACGTCGAGCCATCACCAAACTTGCGAACATCAATATCTCAGTCAATTTTCAAGCGACAACGACAAGCTTAGGCTCGTTCCAAAACTACAAATCAGGAGCCAATTTCAACGCAATATAACTACAAGGTCACCTGCCAAATTTCCACCTTCCGTGTCCTGCCGGCGCGCTCGGACAGGAGAGTCGGTGCAGCTCGCTCACAAGGAGTAGGAGCCCGACGAGCTGGCACCGGAACCAGATTGGCTGTCGGACAGCTCGTAATGGTTGGGACCTTCCCCGTATTGCGCAGGGGCACCCCTGTACTGGTTGGCAGAACCCTCGTACTGGATAGGGTTGCCATCGTACTGGGGAACGTGGCCCGCATGGACCTGGCCAACGGGGGCACCCGCGTCAGGGGTCTTGGCGGCCTTCTTCTGGAAGGAGCAAACCTACGCAACAACATTATCAACCACTCTCGCCACTCTTTACACACGGTCACACCACCAAGAAAATCAACATACCTTTGCCTGCTTGACGCAACAGTGGCATCGCTGGTTCTCACCAAGCACGATGCAGCGTCTATCCCCGGAGGACTTCACCATGCACGCACCGCACTGGACCTCCGCCGCATACCCAAACTCTTCAATCATGTTCGCCCTCTCCCATCGCCTGTCTCGGACTCTGTTGAAAGCGGCAGTCCTGGCGACAAGAACCTGCGCGGCATCAACGACACCTTGGATCTGGCGTTGCGAGAGTGACTCCAGGTATCCGAGGATGGTCGCGTACGCGTCGGGGTTAGGAGGGATGATATTAGACATGATGATAATATGGTCAACTACGGGATGGTATGATGACCCATCACCATCACTACGGGTACACAAATCAAACCTCACAGAAGCCCTACATATATACACAACCCGGAGCCAACCACGCTTATCTACACCTTCCGGATCCGGCCAGCCTCGGCAGAACTCCCCTCGGCAAAACCCGTAGGCACACACACCCGCTCAAGGGACTTCGCGGCATAGCGGGGGGATGCTGTTACGGACCGACCCAATCTCGCGCGTCAACGCAGACGCAAACGCAGACGCAGACGCAGACGCAGACGCAGACACAAACACAAACGCAAACACAAACATCAACACCAACACCAACGCCAACACAAACGTTAACACCAACATCAACGTGAACGTTTGCCACCTTTTCCTAGTGTTTGCCCCCTTTCCAAAATAATATATATAGCAGGCCATTCCAGCCTGATTGTACATTCCCTTCCATGTTCTCTCTTCTTTCCCAAGAAGAATTATCATATGTTACATCCCTAAACCTTAGCCACCCAACAACCTCTCACTACTCAACACTGGAGCTCTCGTCAAGCCCTTCACGGTCAGCAAGCAGATTGCAACCAAGCACTTCCCGTTGAGTATCTCTGCCTTAGCACAATTACCACTGACGCTTTCCACCTAGGCTAGCCTTTCGTTACCACTAGGCCCGACCGTAACAATGTGGCATTCCGTGTGTTTATAGTCGCCGAGAATCGACGCTCGAGACCTGATTTTTTGCGTCTACAATTGCGGTTTGGGTAACCCAGGGCCGGCTAGTGTTTTGGTAGGGGAGTTGGGGTTTGTAGAACCACGACGCAGAACACGAATTGTACTTACGGACCTCGAAATATCGCGAATATCCCTAATATCTCGCCTAAACGACCCTATACCGACGCTACGATGTACCCGGACGTTATTGCTAGTGATTCTCAGCGACAGGGCGTCTCTCGACACCCAGGAGGAGGTAGTCGACAACCGTTGGCGAGGGGAACGACGTCGTTTGACGATATGTCGATAGTCGAGGTGATTTCGCTCGAGAACCCCCCTTCGATGGCGACGGAAGGTTTCGAGGTGATGCAGGTCGATAAGGGAGGTCCTACTAGTACCGTAAAGACCGAGGGAGGTCGTAAGAACGCTCAGTGGTCGTTAGCGGACGATCGTTTGATGTTAGAATTGCTTACGGAGGAACAACGTCGAGGTCGACGGGCCGATAACGGTTTCAAACGTGGTACGTGGGCGTCAGTCGCCGCTGAGGTGAACAAGATACGTAGTAAGGGTGGGGAGAAGGACGAGAAGTCAGCTAAGTTCCGTTTTAACAAGGTACATCGCTCACAACGTCGGTACCGAATAGCTAGAACTGACACACGACTTACTACGACCTATAGCTCAAGAACGAAGGGTGGAAGCCCTGGAACACGCTGTTGAAACGCTACAGCCAGTCAGGTGCCGGATTTGATGAAGAGATGAATACGTTGAGCCTCCCTGATGGTGCGTGGGACGAATTGAAGGAGTCTGGAGTAAGTCACAGCGTTTGATAGATGTTTGACGATGTGTCACGAACCTAGTAACACCCGACGACAAGGTATCACGAAACACGATTCGACATCAGATCCGTCTACAACCAGCCTTTGACACGTCATGGAGGTTATCACGCGCGACGAATCACGAAACACGAATCGACAAGCGCGCGCGCGCTTCAGCATCCGTCATCTCGTTCATCCCGACACTTGACACGTCATGCGATTCACAAATCGACCTTGTCAAGTTATTCGAGGTAACCGACCTCACCGGAGGTGACAGGTACAAGGACGAAATAGAGAACGATACGTTGGGGAAACCGACATCGAAGGAACGGACGTCTGCCTACACAAAAGACGAAACGACCTTAGACAGGGACGGGAAGTAATTACAAGGTCCAACACAGGGACGGAAGACGAATCGACAATCGTTGATCAATAAAAGACAAAAGCAAAAACAAGGAACGATATCTGACTTAGACGATACGCCGGTGATTGAAAGACATTGAGGATCGACCACCGACGTTCTCCACCTTTGCCAAAACAACGGCGGACGATTCACCAAGATGAGAAGGACGTAGGACGACCTTAGCATTGAATCGGGTAATGTGACGGACCTTAGAGAACAGACGGGGACCTAGGTGAAGTCAACAGCAGGCGTGCTTTCCCTTTCCTGTTTACTCGAGTAAGGACGAAAGACGATTCGTTGGACGATCGTTGGGGAAGCACGAAAGGAGAAACGAGCGCAGTACTTATAGCTCGATAGGATAGAAGAACGATAGCAGTTGTATCCTTTCGACTAGAAGTTCAAGCTCGTTATTACATTCGAATCTTAGCATACGCTAGACGAAGAGGTTACAAACAAAGACTACAGAACAACATTTTCCACCGCCTTACCCCTTATCGAGCACGCAGTGCACGGCTACTCGTTAAGTACACTTCCCTATTTCTTTACCCCTGCGTACGACGAAGTGGTATTGGTTCTTGGGTCGATACGTAGGACGAATCGACTATCGCGACTAGCTACCGCACAGAGACCTACACGAGTGACGATTATCGAATCGTAGTAACCACTCACACCAACCGGACGAATTTCGATTGACGAATCGTTATTCAAGGATCTTAAGGCAACGGCTAAAGATCGACCAGCACCAAACGAAGCACGATTCTCGTCCTGAGAGCTCTGACTAGAAAATACATCCGATCAAGCAGACCTAACACCGAGGTTCTACCAAGTCGTAACAGCATAACGAGCTTCTAGTCAATTACTCACCACGGAATCACAACATGGCGCCAGGTACCAGAAACACTCCTCGAACGAACGAGGACAGGTTTCATAGTCAAAGTGACAATGAAGAGGATCGTCTCGGCGACGATCACCAACGCGAATCGGTGGAGGCCTCCACTCGAATCGCATTCGATCGGGAACCCGATATCAACGAAGGCAGGTTTTCGCCTGAAGATAGTCCCGATCAGACCGATGAACCAAGGGTCAAGGAACCTGAGAGGGTTGAAGATACGACGAGCGCTATCTTAGCCCTACTGAAAGAGCAACAGTCGACCACCAAACGGTTGCTCGCTAGGCTCGAGAAGCTTGAGCAGAATCGATCGGACGATCGAGACACAGAAGACGATTCACGAATCGTCCATGACAGGATCACGGGCAATATCCACAATGCCGTCAGGGATCGGGTAGAGGATTCTCCTGTCAGTGGTCAAACTAGAAGGTCGGTCAGAACCGTTCCAGCGGTTGCCAAACCTAGGTTGGAACGGGACCCCTATGCACCTTTCCATTTCGACGAGGAGTACGTCGAAGGACGATTACCGATTCAACGCGGAACAGGATTCAGCAACATTGAGACCAAGGTGGCTCCTCCCGAATCTTTCGACGGTGATACCACGAAACTGGAGGGATTCATCCACAAGCTCCGAATGGTGTTCAAAACTCAGAAGCATCGTTTTCCGACCGAGGAATCGCAAGTCAATTATGCTATCTCCTATCTTACCGGGAACGCCAGCGATATCATTACAAATGATATGGACGGAGACGAAGACGGAGTACTGCCGGCGTATTTCTTCGACTTTCCCCTGTTCTGCCAGGTTCTCAGGGATCATTTTGGTGATCCGGACGCAGAAGGAACAGCACAAGCTATTGTCGAAGAGACGTACCAGACAGGGACGATTCTCCAATATCTCAACGCAGTTGGCCCCTCGATTAAGAGATTGGGATGGAACGATAGGGCTATCGTAATGGCGGTCAAGACGAGAGTCAACAGTAGCATACAATACCGGCTGACGGAAACCCAGGGGTATAGAAACCTATCTTGGAACGAATTCAAGAAGCTCTTGATCGACCTAGACCGACAGGAAAGGGAGAAACGTGGCATTCGAAAGGCGAATTCTTCTGAGAAAAAGGAGAAACACGATTCGAAACCCAAAGACAAACACCCTCGGGAGAAGAGAGTGGAGACTACTGTTCAACGAACCGTACAGAGAGAAACCGTTCGGTCGGATCGGCCTTACGTCTCTCCCGAGGAGATGAAACGCCGCAAGGAAACAGATTCTTGTCTCTACTGCGGGAAACCAGGTCACTATTCTCGAGATTGCCCTGAGAAGAAAGGGAATAGTCCGAACGTGGTCAAAGGTCGAGCAGGAAAACGATTGGACAAGTCGGAATGGATTCCGTTCACCGTGAAAGGGAAGGATCCTTTAATCGAAGTAGGGATAATCGTGAATGGTCAAAAGGAAAGGGTTTACCAGGCATTATTGGACAGCGGGGCATCACAGAACTTCGTGTCTCCAAACTTGCCGGTGATGTTCGACTTGCCAGTTCAGAAGTACCCAACTCCAGAGAAGTTACTTCTGCTAGACGGGCGAATTTCGGACGAATTGATCACAAGCTACACGGATATCGATTTTTGGATCAGCGGGAACGGGCCTTACAAATGTCGATTCGACATATCGACGATCGGAAACCCGGGCCTCGTCTTGGGATTGGATTTTTTCACAAGGTACCAAGCAGAAATCGATTGGGGTACCTGCGAAATGAGGGTAGCAACGAGCCCTACCCTGAAGCAGATTGTTGGTGGAGGGGGTCTTCGAATGGGAAGAGCAACCCTCGATGAAGACGAAAAGAGATGGGCGTTCAAGACATTGAATTTGGAGGAGCACGAATACGAGGAGGTTGCTGACCTCCGGACGGCGATTCCCGAATCGTATCACGATTTCCTCGACATCTTTATGAAGAAGCATTACGAATCGCTTCCTCCGCATCGCGAGTACGATCACCCGGTAGATCTGATCGACGGACAGGCTTTGAAGAAGCTAAAGGTATACCCTTTGAACGCAAAAGAGGACGCCTGGTTGAAAGCTTGGATCGACAAATCACTGGCTATTGGGCACATCGAACCTTCGTCTCATTACTTTGGCAGTCCGGTCTTTTTGGTGGCCAAGAAGACGGGCGATTATCGGATGGTCACCGACTTCCGAGTGTTGAACAACGCTACCGTAAAAAACACTTATCCTTTACCACGAATCGATACTCTCTTGGAGCGAGTGCGTTTGGCGAAATTCTTTACGAAACTGGATATGCCTACTTCCTATCAACTGTTAAGGATGCGGCCAGGAGACGAAAAGTGGACGACTATCCTTACCCGTTACGGCGCCTTTCAGTCGAAGGTAATGAGGGAAGGGATGTCAAACGCGGGAGCTAGTTTCCAATTCTTCATGAACGATTTGTTCCACGAGCTGTTGGACAAGGGGGTCATCGTCTACATCGACGATATTTTGATTTACGCCAATACGAAAGAAGAATTGCATGAGCTCACCAAGGCGGTTTTCAAGATTATTCGACAAAACGATTTATACTTGAAGCCAACAAAATGTGAATTCCTGCAAGAACGAATCACGTTTCTCGGGTTCGTAGTAGGACACAATCAAGTCGGACCGGAGCAAGGAAAGCTAGACTCGGTCGAAAGCTGGCCCACCCCAAAGAACATCAAGGATATTCAGCGCTTCCTCGGGTTTGCAGGGTTTTATCGGCGATTCATCTACGATTATGCCGGAATCACGAAACCTATGACGAGACTTACGCGGAAGAATACTCCCTGGGTTTGGGGAGAAGAAGAGGACGCTAGCTTCAATGGTTTGAAGCGAGCATTTGCTAGTTCACCCGTTTTAGCTCAGTTCGATCCTGATCTCCAGTGTTACATCGAGACAGACGCTTCAAATTGCGCGATCGCAGCGATCGCCAGTCAACGATTTCCAAAAGGGGACGATTCGGAAGTTCGTCCAACAGGATTCTTTTCGCGAAGCTTGCAACCGGCAGAAGCAAATTACCCAGTACACGACAAGGAATTGCTAGCAGTAATCGAGGCGTTCAAACACTGGAAAGCCAACTTGATCGGTATGGTTCACCCGATTATCGTCTTGACCGATCACAAGAACTTGGAGTACTTTATGAGCGGCAAGCCTTTGGTACAACGGCAAGGACGATGGGCAGCTTTTCTATCGGACTTCAACTTCAAAATCCGATATCGTCCAGGAGAAAAAGGAGAGAAACCGGATGCCTTGACTCGAAGGAGCGATTACCACCCAGGAAAGGGCAGCAGTAAGACGAAATGGGATTTGAACCCCACGGTTTTATTGCCCGAGGCACTTTTCGAGAATTTCCAGACAGCAGCTTTACGAGGAGGGAACAGGATACGAATCGATACTCAATTGACGACTATCGACTCTTGGATACGGACGGAACTGGAGAAGGACACCATCCGAGAAGAAGGGCTCCGCGTACAAGTAGGAAAGGACAACGAGACAGATGACGAATCGCCTATCGATGAGCAGAATCCTTGGTCATGGACAATCAGCGGATTGTTGCTACACCAAGGGCGAGTAGTGGTTCCGAGTAGCCAAGAGCTAAAGAACCATATTTGCAAGAGCAGACACGATTCGTTGGTAGCCGGACATCCAGGAGCTACCAAAACAATTGCGCTCATCAAACGCGATTATTACTGGCCTAAAATGGATTCGGACATCAAGTTGTACGTTTCCGAATGCCCCGATTGTCAACGAAACAAACCGAGAAGGCACAGGCCTTACGGAGAACTGAAGTCTCTGGATATTCCGAATGGGCCATGGGAGGATATTTCCATGGATTTCGTGGTTGGTTTTCCCAAAATTGGGAAAATGGATGCGGTTTGGAACATCGTCGATCGGTTCACGAAGCAGGCACATTTCGTACCGATACCTACGACGATTACGGCGCGAGGATTAGCAGGGCTATTCAAGACGCACATCTTCCGGGTACACGGAATTCCCAGAAGCATTTTGTCGGATAGGGATTCGAAATTCACGTCGAAATTCTGGGAGGAATTTTGTGAATTGTTGGGCA